TGAGCTACATTGTTAGAAATTTGACCCAGCTTTTATGTTTGGTATTGAAAGGTCTTTCTGTAAAGTTCTTTATTCAAAGCTTCTTTTTCTCACTGAACAACAACAACAACAACAACAACAAAACGAAAAAGAAAAGTTGTTTTTAGCCAGAGTATGGATCTAGGATTTAATTTGACACTCAAAGTGAAGGTGAAAAATTATATTTCCTGTTTTCACATTTAGGAAACTTCTGATCAACATTCTTGAACTTGATGCTAATTAAGCTTCCAAGAACTTCAGCTTCCCCTTCTTAACCATTTAAAATCTTTGTTTGCTTTCCCTCAGAGTCCCTGATTTTAACTTGAAATAGCTTAAAGTAGAAATTTTGTTAGCTTTTTAATGTTTGGATTTGTGTGTGTTCTGTTTTTAACTTTCAACTTGGGTTTTAAGATCATCAATCAAAGATTTTTCTTTCAAGTCGGTGGCACTGCTCTCAATTGCAGGACTTAGAGGGTCAGCATTTCACTCATGCTATTAAAAAAAAAAAACTTAGAAAGAGTATTTTAGGAATTTGAGCTCCATGGATCTTTTCATCACATACCTACATTTTGAAATGAACAAATAAGAAACCCAGGAAATGTTCTACAGTTTCCCACCTCTCCCTACTTTGCTTTCTTTCTTTTTTTTGGGGGGGGGGAATAAAGGTAAATTATCTATTCCTCTATCAGATTTCAGCAAGCCACAAAGAGGCTAATTGTGGCTTTATATATTTCAAAATACTTTCACTTATTTATACCTTTCATTTAAATGTTTTCTTGCACACATTTTTTTCCACTTTTGAACTGTAAGAATGTGGCTCATCTCCCCACATTCTGTAGCTCCATTGGACATTATGATCAGCTTGTGCTTTTATCTTTCAGATGGCATTTATTTGTGAGGCATATATGTCTGTGTATGACTGGCATTTGTTTTCATCTGCCACATAATACTATTTTTTGTAGGTTTCAGTGAAGCAATGAAAACAAAGTATTGGACATTTGAAACGAGCTGTTACAAAATTGCCTATACTCCCTCACCTTGTACACCAAATTCAGAGCAAATTGGTAAAATCTTATGATTAATAATGCCAATTAACTTCATTGAATTTAGTTTTCAAGATTTTGCTTCCAGATAGGATCCTATAATGGATAATATTATAAATTTAAACCTTTACCTTTACAGGATTTTTAAGAGATTGGCTCAGTGCCAGTACATAATCAACTTTGCCCAGATTGGAGCAAATTCCCTTGATGAGCTTTCTGACCAGATGAGAATTTGTGTTGGGTGAAATGAATCAGGTGTAGACTGAAATGAACTCAAAGTTCATTTCTGAATTTCATTCGCAAGTGTGTCCAAGGTTAAGTGTTTTAATTTCATATTTTGGTTCATATTCAGGCGTGGGGTCTACTTGTAGGCAGAGCTTTGTAGATGTTGTTGCAGTCTGCCATTTAATATATGCTCAACTGAAAGGTTTTTCTAACTGCCTGCCTACCACAGTTCCTCCCTGCCCCCTCTGCTCCTGTTTCTTCCCATGTGAAGTATCATATATTTTGTTAGGAAGAAAAGCCCTTTTGGAAATTGCCTATTTCATAAATTGTCTGGTGACACAAAGGGGTTGAATGCTACCTTCTTGTCTCATTTATTTTGAAAACTTTGCTACTGAACTCACCTTAATCAATGAGCTCAGTGTTGTCTCCAATAAGTTGTGTGTTGGATATATTGATTGGGAGGGATTTTAGAAAACCGTCTGGGGTTTATAATGTCAGCAGTGTTTTGATTATGAAAAGAGTTGGAACCTGGGGACATGGAACCAGGTGGCGAATGTCCTAAAGCCAGTGGTGACATGGTGGACTGGTTCCCTCCTGGGATCTAGTTCATGCCCTGCACTTTAACTGTGGTGACTGGCTACTATAGATTCACTTTTTTTGCTCATTAAAATGTTAAAAAATCAAACTGTACATAAAAAGATTTGTGAAAATATAAACTTGGGCATTGATCTGGAGAACTGGCACACAATCCTTCCCACCCCTCGACTTCCCAATGAGGTCATTTACATTTCATCAGCTGTGCTGCATCTCAAGATCCGATTTATGTGGCAGTACTTGAAGTTGTACTGAGGCTGGTTGTCTGAAAGAGCTTGTGTTTCAAGGGAGAACAGAAAAATTGCCTTCTATGAAGAAAGTTCCCTAGCCAAAGATGCAGATTCTAGAGAGAAAAAGAGGCTGGTAAACTGGTTTAATGATTGTTTTCCTAGTAAAGTTGATATTGAAAGATTTTGGCACACTCTGCCATAACTAGAATGCTCAAAATAAATTTAAATCAGGAGTTAAAAACCCCTCCCTTCCTTGGAGAGTGGCCTTTTCATATTTGAATAACTGAGTTTTTCTTTTGTCAAAGAGGATGAGGTAAGGTAATTGAAAGGAAAGCATTGGTATTAAGAAATGTGGTTTATTTTAGCAGTTTTTATTTACAAAGAACAGGCTTGTTTCCACTCCCTCATCTTGTCCTCCCCTTCCCAAACTGAGAGGTAGATATTTCAATTCTGATTGATATCATGTGTGAATATTCCTAGCACCAAGTTTTCCTCTGACAGCACACCATCAACTAGTTTGACTTAAATTGGAATATCAAGCTCTTGCAATATCACAAACATGAAGAAACATATTGTAATGTACAAACGTGTCTACATTTGCCTATATTTCCTTTTCTCACCCCCCACCCCATTGCTTAATTAGACTTATAACTATTTTCTTGGGTAAAAAAGGAAGATTGATGGGAGATGGGTTACACTTAATCTGTTTGGTAGTTTGATATTCTTTCTAGTATTATCTGACAAGTTCAAGATTGGTTTTTACTCTTGACCGTAGAAAGTGGTAAGTAGTTGCTGTATTATAGTGAGTAATAAGTTGGGCTTATTAGATTTCTTGACTGCTGTAGGGCATGATGCTTTCTCATGGCCATGGGGGTCTTTTCTTTAAAAAAATCTTTGAGGCCTTTTGCCAGCATAACTCCAGCATAGAGTAGAGTACAGAAGTGCTTTATGCACCTAAAACTTTTGAGGGGTAAAAGATAACCGTCTTTGTAGCTGATATTGGCAGTGAGTGAGAGCTTAGAACTGAATTTTAAAGAATAATGAAGATAAGAGATACTTTGTGATGTTATTTGAAAGTTGACATAGATTATTTTTGCAAATAAGTCATAAGAGTTTTGTGTTTGTGAATTATAGTCTATTTTCTAATTAACTAAAACTTAAAGTGACTGTTGTATATGATTTCTTTTCCAATACTTGATGTAATGACATCACACAGAAATTGCTTGAGGTGATTCTGTGAGACTAGTTATTGTAATTTATTTAAACAACTTGTTTAAAAGCAATATGTATGGGCCTCTGAATGCCACATTACAAAATTGAATTTTTTATAAGTAATGCCTCTTAGAATATGCTGAGGTATTCTTATCTACTTTATTTTTGAGTTTTCTATTCATTACTGTTTCATGACATGCCTTAACAGTGCTGTGATACACATAGTACCAATTCAAGATGATATTAAAAAATAGGATATGCTCAATTGAATTATGTAGGCGGAACATGCTCTGGCAGAGCAAGTCAATGTGCTTTCTGCTTCATTGAGTGGGTTATTAGATTGATGTGGTTTATTTCTTGAATGATAGAACTGGTTTTAAAAATAAATGAAGCGAGAAGCATCAATTCAGTTAGCATTGATAATTCATTATTATTGGTTAGAAAAGTGCTACATTTGTAAACCGATCTTTAATTTATCACTTGGGTTAGGATTTGCAGTGGGCTGGTTTGTTTTAATTTGAACCAGCTTCTCAGTGATTGAAAAATGTGTTCTTCATTTTGTCTTGGAAGCTAGGATTTTAAATAGTTAAAAAGCAAATCAAATGCATGAAAGGAATACTTTTTAAAAAATTTATAACATTGGTCTATGAACATATGATAAGCACAACTGTGGGCTATCAAAGCCTGCAGTTAAATTAAGTCAAGCTAAAGAAAGTCCTATGAAGAAAGTAGTAATTACGTGTGTATATGTTTATATATGTGTTTAGCTATGTGTATATATGCTACATAAGTGAATGGGCCTGTTGGGAAAAGCCCCACACCACTATACACTATGTCTGATGTTCCAGTGTTTATTTTTGTCTTAATGTAAGAAGATTGCCTTTTATGAAAACAAGTCTTTGAGATGTCACTCTACTTTTTGTGTCTCTGTCCTGAATATTGTGCTTGGTTTTATTTACCTTGATATTTGTTTAAAAAAAGGTTTAGACTGGTAGTTTGCTTTAGATTTCCATAAATTATGAACAGGTAACATATTATGATAATGGTATTTAAATAAAAATAGTATACACTTAGAGTGGTTACAGTTTACAGTTTGATTCCAAAATTAATTTCAGCCCCAAATGGCAACTTCTTTGTAAATGAAGTTTTGAACTTTAAAATATGTAGTTGATAATGTTCAGGGACAATTATCTTCAAGTTGGCTTTCTATTCTGCTGTGATTTGGCCTATTGATATTGGGAAGTGTTGTCTAATCCCGGCCTCCTCTGTTCCTAGGTAACAGGCAAAAACAGTGCCAGCAACAGCAGCCCTGCCAGGCCAAACCCATGTGGCTCGGTGTTATTCACTCTGATCCATATGGTCAGGCTGGAGATGGTCCCTGGAGGGGTGTTAACACTCAGCAACCCAACCGCCTCCCTCCCTTCAGAGCTTTCCTGCATGGCTCCTGCTGCTTACCCATGTGTGATTCTTGATTAATTTTTCATTTTTAATGAAGTTTGATCATGTTTATTATTTCTCATGATTGACTGCCTGGTACTCCTCCCATGTAATTGATAAAGCCCATATTTCTTCATCTGTCTTCTCTTTCTTCAGGGTAAAGTTGTTAGATTGTGCTGTGGTTAATGTTAGATTTATTGGTCCCATTAGATGTATAAATTATCTCTCCTTCTCTCCACAGGAAGTTCTACAGACTTTGACCAAGTTTTGTTTCCCCTTCTATGTGGACAGGTAGTGTCAGATTTTCAAACTTTATTATAAAAAAAAGTGTTAATGAATCTGCTATAGAAAATAAAAACCATACCATTCTTAACATTCTGTCTGTTTAACCATCATTTTAAAACATCTGAGTTCCAAGGAGAGTTGTTATATTCTCCTTTCCTGGGGATTTTATAGACATTATCAAAAAGTTTAAAGCTTAGAGCTTTGTATTAGTTAGTTTGTGACATGTATTTTATATTGCATTAATTTTTTGATTTTGGTTATCAGACTTAAACCATGATTAAGAATGGTTGGTGTTTAATCCAGGGCTGTTTAATTTTTATTTAAATCTGAATATATTTGGCTTAAATAATATTATATTACTTTATGACCTTATGAGTATTGTATAGATTTTGTTTTCTTAGACTTCACCTTATAATTTAAATTAACACAGGTCTATCTTGTTTAAAGGTATTCAGCTAATTAAAAGGCATGTTGCTAAATAGTGTTTTACATTTTGTTTTGGTGGCCAAGAATAGTAATATCTCTGGGGAAATCAGCATTTTTTATAGGTTTCTAGACTAAAAAATACACAAACATGTAAACATTTCCCTAATATTTACATTATGATAAACTGTTTCTTGAAGAGGTACAAGTATAGGAACTCTTAAGGTAAATAATATAATCTGAGGGTTTTTTGTTGTTGTTGTTTGTTTTTGAAATAAGCCATTGTTTAATGCTAACAATTTTAGTAAAGCTTTTTCTTCTATTTTATAAAAACTATAATTTACTAATTATATTAGTACAGTGAAAACACAGTGATCTTTATCTTTTTTCAGGAAATATCCCTCTGTTTTTCACTATAGTTGAAACATTATGTTTTGGAAGCATTCATTTGTTCTCTTGATTTTTGTCTTTTCTTCAGTCTTAATGGAAAATTGAATTACAAAATTGTACATGATATTTTTAAAATCCCACTTTTAGTGACAGGTTATAGGAAATAACCATTGTAAGTAATTTTATAATATGTTCCAAGAAAGCTATAAAATGTGCCCATCTTCAGGAAGGTTCTATTGTGTATTTCAGTGTACCCAAGCAAGGCAGGATCCGAAGGATTTTAGTCTTTTAGAGTACATGTGGGTAGTGTGCTGCTTGTCGTTCCCCACCTCCTGCCCCTGCCCCGTAAACCTAAAAGTAGTGTGAGATGGGAATTGGTAGCCAAAGAAGTTTTAAAAAGTACTAAAAAGCAACTCTGGAAGGTTGCCAGCCACTTAATCACTGCTCTCCCTGGTTCTAACATGTTATTTTTTAAGCCAATCAACCATTGTAGTATTTCCAGACTCAGATCTTTTTAAACCCTGGTACCAGGGATGTTTTAGTAGCAGATTGATGCTCAAAACAGAGTATCCTTAATTTTATGAGGGTCAGTCATTGTAATGAGAGTCCTCTTGTTTCTTCTTTATCCTAGTCCTAAAAATAGCAAGGAAGTAGGGTTTTGTTTAGAGATGTTTAATGCAAACTTCACATTTATATGTATGATTTAGCGATGCATGAAATCTCCTCTAGTCACTTATAAAATGTATTACAAATTATGGCAAGGACATATTTATACAAACTAATAAACTGAAATGTTTTAAAAATGTAGTTAGATGTTTAACAAAGGAAAATTAAGAACACATTTTTAATGTGATTTCTTGTTAGAGTAGTGATCTGTTTTGGCTAGGTGTTCCTTAATTGGCTTTGTGAACTAATTTGGGAAGATAGGCACAATGAGATTGTCTCCCTTTAACCCCCAACACATACCACACACACTTCTGTTTCTCTTGCTTACACTACATGCATACCTCTCTGCTCAACCTACCCATCTGGATTATTACATTCTGACACTGAATAAAAAGCAGTTTGTTCAGTGATAATCCTAAGTCTTTTTTATTACCAGTAATGTTGGGAACCTTTTCATTGTCATTGGAAACATATTTTTCCTCTAAAATGAATTTCTTCAAATTACCCTCCCCTAATCATGTTCCTCACGTGGTTTTTGATAAAATGACTTTGGAGACAGAGTTATCCTTTTATGCATATATTTTATCCTTGCCATGTTCAATAGTTTTTCTTACATTGTATTATATTATATACTCAATGAGTATTGATAAATTCTATTGATACCAGAAACAAACAAAAACCCACCCACTGTGTTTTGGCAACTGTATTTCATCTCTTTTGTTTCCCTGTCTCTAACTTTGACATATGTTAATGCAGAAGAGATAATCATAATTAAATTGACTTACAAGATATGCAAAGGATTTAATGTTACAATTTTTTTATTAGTTTGCAGTTAGCAGTGCCAAATGGATATGTCCAGATTCAGAGGCCCACAAAACTCCCTAAGTGTGTTTATGATATTGTTAGACTTAGAAAATATGCTAGCATGGGAGATGAGCAATGCCCCAGGTGATTGCATTCAAAAGAGAAAGCTTCCTAATCTTTTTAGTATCTGTGCTTTTCTACCCTAAGGAACAGTAATACAACTCTCTGACATCTCTAGTCTGTATCAAGAGTAGGATTTTCACAGTCGTCATCAAATCACCCGTTAACATTGACATCTTGCTGCCTGTCTCTTGTGTTGTTTTAAGATTTTTCTTTCTGAAACTAGGACTTATGAAAAATAACAATGCTAGTAACTCTTCAAAGGAAAGTGCATTCTCTTGTATTATTTCATTTTATCATCCTGCCATAAGAGATAAGAACAAGTACCATTATCTTTTGTTTGTTTGTTTGTTTGAAACGAAGTGTAAGTTGTGGGGAAATTGTGACTTATCCAAGGTCCTTTTAGGCTACCAGTGCATCCCAGATTCCCATCCCCGCAATGAGTACATTTTTCAGTAGATCACTTTGTGGGAAAGGGCAATCACCAAGCAGAAAGGGAGGAAAGTAGCATTTGCGCTCCTAATTGATTCTAGTCACTGTGCTGTACACTCTTGTCACTCCCTCACTTGTTCCTTCCCAGTAACTATAAGAGATAGGTGTCCCTCCTCTCCCCAGAAGAGCAAAGGAAGGGTCAGGATGTAGCATTATGATGGGTAATGTGCAGGATATAGAAATGGTCTCAGACTTGGAACCCTGTTCTCCATGTGTTTCCCAGTCTAGTCCAAGAAGTATTATGAAGGCATTTTAAACAATATTCAAAAGGATGGGAGGTTATAGAAGACTGAAATGGTCAGAGAAAACTTGATATGGTGGGTGAGACTCATGTTGAGTCTGCCAGGCCAGCAAGAAGTGGATAAGTGGAAGGGGGAGCCTAGCTAACACCCCATATGCACTGCAGAGCAAAGCAGAGGAGAAACTCCCAGTGAGATGTTCAGTCAGAGCAGATGGAGCCTGCTGGGGAGAGGGTGATGTGTACCACGATAGCTTGGGCTTTGGCCACAGGAAGCCTTGAAAATGTGTGGGAGCAGGACTGCAAAATTTTAAAGCTGAGATTCATCTGGTTCAAGCACCCCATTTTATGAAAGGGAAGCCAAGATCTGCAGAGGGGAAATGACTTGCTTATTGTCACAACTAGGTAATTACAGAGCTGGGAAAGAACAGGTACATCTATTCCCAGCCCAGAGTTTTTTCTAACCTTCTCTGTCTTTGAAGCTTTTTGTGGAGGGGAGTAATGAAGTATCTGTGCTCAGTTCTCTGTATTGCTTTCAAAAATTTTCATTATTATTGATAAAAGCAGTCTCTCTAAATAAAAGACGTGTCCCATTCCATATTGTGGTTGGTACTTCTTTGCACTTGACACTGACACCCAGCTTCAGGTAGTCAGAGCACTCATTGGATGATGGAAAAGCTATTGCTTTCTATGCTTGTGCTTATCCTCTTTCAGAACTCAATCAGTTACTATTCAGTTGCTCTGTGAATTATACTTGTACCCACCAATGACAGGAGTGTGAAATGAAATGACATCATCTTTTTAGGGGCAGAGGCACCATTTAATGATTTAGGATGTCACCACAGATGCAAATGTGGTTTAAATGCTGCTTATCTTTTTTTTAAAATTTCATATCTCTGGTTGTGTGTATAGTATATTCACACCAATTCATGTCTTCATACATGTACTTTGGATAATAATGATCATCACATTCAATCATCATTAATTACCCCATGCCCAGTCTCTTCCCCTCCTACCCCTTTGCCCTATCAAGAGTTCGTCTAGTCCTACTATGCTCCCTCTCCCTATCCTACTATGAATCAACCTCCTTATATCAAAGAAAACATTTGGCATTTGTTTTTTGGGGATTGGCTAATTTCACTTAGCATTATCTTCTCTAACTCCATCCATTTACCTGCAAATGCCATGATTTTATTCTCTTATTGCTGAGTAATATTCCATTGTGTACCACATTTTTTTTTATCCATTCATCTACTGAAGAGCATCTGGGTTGGTTCCACAGTTTAGCTATTGTGAATTGTGCTGCTATAAACATTGATGTGGCTGTGTCCCTGTAGTATGCTGTTTTTAAGTCCTTTGGGTATAGACCTAGGAGAGAGACACCTGGGTCAAATGGTGGTTCCATTCCCAATTTTCCAAGAAATCTCCATACTGCTTTCCATATTGGATGCACCAATTTGCAGCCCCACCAGCAGTGTATGAGTATACCTTTTTCCCCCGAATCCTTGCCAGCACTTTTTGTTGTTTGTCTTCATAATAGCTGCCATTCTGACTGGAGTGAGATGAAATCTTAGAGTGGTTTTCATTTATATTTCTCTAATTAATTGCTAGTGATGATGAACATTTTTTTCATGTGTTTGTTGATTGATTGTACATCATCTTCTGAGAAGTGTCTCTTCAGGTCCTTGGCCCATTTATTGATTGGGTTATTTGTGTTTTTTGGTGTCTAGCTTTTTGAGTTTCTTTATGTACCCTAGTAATTAGTGCTGTATCTGATGTGTGAGGGGTAAAGATTTGCTCCCAAGATATAGGCTCTCACTTCATAGATTGTTTCTTTTTTTTTTAATATTTATTTTTTAGTTGTAGTCAGACA